TCTGAGAAGTTCTTGTACTTTATAACTCCAAGATGGGAGGGTTTGAAGAGGGACGTGATACTTGCATGAACAAGACATGCAAGGGCCACGAAGTTGACCTTATGCATTTCTCAATAGGAAAGGCAATTCCTGGAAGACTATATGGAGGCAACCTGGTAGACAATAGTGAGGGAAATGGAGGTGACAGGTGAACCAAGTTGTTCTGCACTTCTTGTAACATTTTACGGTAAATTTTGTGCCATTAAATTAGTCAAGAAGTACTAATTCATACCTTTTGGCAGACTAGGACAGGTTTGGTCATTTGGTCGACCTATATGGTTGGAACCCACACTGCCGTTATTTAGATGGAATCGGTCCTTCAGGTAATTTGGAAATATTTTTTAGGAAGCTTCAAGCTTTTTCTCAACATCTGTATAATTGGATAGGATAGATAATAGTTGAATGGTATCATTGCATTCTATTGTAGTGGGACATGGAAATTAACATAGAACTGCAAAAGACTCATCAAGTAGTGAGGAAGTCGTAGACGGATGCATATTAGTTGTAATTGTTAACATGGTGTGCAACATTTTGACCTGAATTTTGGTATAGATTTTGTATTGTTATGATTAGGACATGCCTTTTGTTTTACAAACATTAGTTTTTTTTGTTTGTAACGTGTGTCGTTCTGTGATTTTTGATTTTGTGTCTTCTCTCATTTTTGAACTAAATCTGCACTGAACTCTCCCACCCCACCCCCACACTTAAAGGGAACTATTACTTAATAGTGTACAAAAATGTGTTGGTCCTTTCTTCACTGAGTATCAATGAGTCTACTTTTCATGAGGAAATAAATTGCAAAATAAATAGGGTTGTTACATTGTTTTCAACAACCTGGAAAATTTGTCCGAGTAAAATTGACTGGGATGTAAGATAATACTCTGCTGTACTGTAGTGCAATTTCGTCTTGAAGGATATACAGAAAAAAGACCATCACTGTTCCTTGATGGTTGAATTCTAATGCGAAGCAAGATATATCATAGGGGTGAATACATCTCAAGTGAATCATGGTGGGTTTTCACTCTCACACATTGATTACTTATATGGTCACCGGTTTCTCTCTTTGACCGCCAAAATATTGTAGCAGCTATTATTTACTTATTAAAATAAATAAATAAAATCTGGTGGAAACTGCGACCTATCTGCTTTCTAGATGCAGGACATGTCGTTCTTCTTTATTTTCTTGGTAGGTATTTGGCAATTAGCTGATCTCAAGCTGAAAGTGTTGTTAGGAAAGCCATTTTAATTTCTAGTATCCAGACTGCAGAATTCTATTGCATATGTTTCAACAGCTTTTTTTCTCCTCTTTTTCTCTGTGGTCTGCCTATTGATTTCTCCTTGTATAACAGCGAATGATTCTAGTGCACAGAATGATTGGAAAGGAACTTGGTGGCACAGTAGCTTGACTCATCACTCAGGTAAACAAACATATGGTTTCTAATCCCTGAAAATTTTGTCAGTTCTGTACATTTTACTTGTTCTTTTGCAAATTAGAAAGAAATAAAGCTGCTTTCTTCTCCTATAGCATGGGGCATAAATATATTAGGAAGCTTTTTCAAATTTTTATGAACTAGAAGTTTCAGTACATGCATACAGGAATAGAACAATCGTGATACCATACTTGTAGGATGTTACAAAAGGGATCATAGAATAGAACAAATCTTTATAAGCAAATTGTTCTGAGTGAACAGGGAAATACAACTCACTTCGATTCAGATAACTGTCTTAAAAGTGATAAGCCAGCTTCCCCGACTTTCTGCACTACTGCAACTCAATTGGCTGTTTTGACGTCATTGATCTAACACATTGACCCTGTAATGTCATCCTCTTCTTCCTGTGTTGCACAAACTTCTTTCTTTCCAGATTCTCAACTGAACTTCCACAGACACCTCATTGGACTTTGAAACGGTACCAGTTAAGGAGTGCTCATGGAGTAATAGCACTTCACTACTCAAGCTTTGATGTCCTTGTTATGCACCATTTGAAATGTATTTCTTTTTACGAATGAAATATCTGAGTTGTTACTTTTGTTATACTTCACTTCCATATATATAGGTTGAGAACACCTAGGCACTAGATTTGAGGTGAAAATTTTGCTTAAGAGAAGAATGAATACAGATGATTCATATAGTCAATCCCAACTAATTTTGGATGGAGTGATAGTTTATTGATTAATTGATCGGTAGTACTCCGTAGGAATCCAAGGGAACTAACTTTGAACACAGTAGTAAATTCATCTCAACATTTACTTCTATCCACATAGACCTTACTAGAAAAGATGCCGAGACAAATATATTTTTGGGACTAATTGCAGAAGATGATAAATTGAGAACAAAAGTGATATTCTTTTTTGTTGGAAGTCTATGTCTAACATGATCAAACATTCCCAGGAGCTATATGTCCATTAGTGTCTTTTTGTTCTCCAACCACATGCGGTTTTGTTGAAATAGCAATTTACCAGTTAAATTATGAAAATATTAGTGAAGTTCTTTTCCTCATCCATGCTAATCCAAGGATAAGATAGAGACTCTGTACACCTTTCCTGCATTCTAAGATAGCATAGCTAAAGACTAGGAATATTTTTTTGCTGTAATCAGTAGAGATCTCTATGCCATACCACAGAAGAACAGTTTAGATTCCACTGAGATAGAATGCTCTTTTCACTTGATAAACACAATAATGCAGGGAATAAGAGATATTTAAATGTTATAAGTGTAATGATGTCCAAGCATACAAGATTGTCATACGGTGGCGACTGTTTGGAAGGCTGTATTTAGAGTGAGGAGAACAGAGTGTATCCTTTACATGACTTCCTCAGTTACCTATAGATTCAGCGATCGGACTGAGTTTTTGTATCCTAGCTTTGTACATATACCAGCACCATCTTGCGGCTGTTTTCCAGTAAAATCTCTTACTTACCAAAAATAGAAATGAGAGGAAAAATAATATTGTGTTTCAGGCAGTGCCCTTGTTTGTGTTGTATATATCTGTATTGCTCCACTGTGGCTTCTCATTATGAAGGCTGTTGACTTATCAAGCGAATTATGTTAGGAAGCTTGTGTAACAAAATTTTGGTTGTTGTTTGTTAGTTACTGTGCCTTACAGCTCCTTGCCTTTTACCACCTTTATTCCAACACTAACTCTTAAAGTTGAAGCAGGTTTTGTTTAGGATGACAGCCCATATTCATCCAGCAATCAATCCGGTGCATATTATTTTGAATTTTCCAGGCCACTCAGAACAATGGATCGCCTTCAACAGGTAATGAAGTGCTAACCTGACATTAGTGATTGATGGAGATGCTGTTACAATTGAAAAGCACCCCGGCAGTAGATTTTGGAGTAGAACACATTTCCTTGCATTTTTATACAGAATTCTTTCTGCTTACATGCATTTGTTATTTACATTACAACTGTCTGCCAAACCAGCTCTTTAATTTCTACTGACGCAAAGTTGATTGATTGTGGTTGGGCGTGGATTTTTTACAGGACGCTCAATTCACAATTGGAAAAGCAAGCAAGATGTCTGTGGCATTTTGGTACCCCGTTGATGGAAAACCATGGCACGGATCAGGTCACTTCTCAATTAGCTGCAATTGGATACCGTTGAATATCTTGCCAGATGGTTCTGAGCTCACTGATGTGCCACAAAGAAGTCCTTGGGACACTGCTACAGCATTCTCTCCTCTTTTCAGTAGTAGCTTTTTGTATATCCATCTTTGTTGGGCATAGAGTTTCAAGAACATCGCTTTTACCCAATTGGACAATCTTTAGAACAGGGCCAAGTTCCTGCAGATGGCAAAAACCAATTTGCAACTTTTTTCTTCCTGGAACTAGGTTACACGTTTGCTTCTTTCCCCTAAGATGTCTTTTGCAATTTACACTTATAGTTGGAGTTCATGATCGGATAACCTTTTTGCTTTTGAAGTAACGTGGATCAGCTATGAAGCTCATTCTTGACTCTATTCTTTCTTCTTCTTCTTCTTCTTCTTCTTCTTCTTCTTCTTCTTCTTCTTCTTCTTCTTCTTCTTCTTCTTCTTCTTCTTGTGAAAAAAAAATTACGACTCTCTCTCCCTCTCTCCCTCTCTCCCTTTTGGGTTTTGACAGTTTTCTCTTTTGTGTTGGAATGGCGTCAAAACTATGGTTGCTATGTGACTTGTGACTTTAGATCTCAAGACACAGTAGTGTAAATATCATGCAACTAAAAGGAGTAACTTGAAAGGCTCGTTTGAGAACTCTGTGGTGCTTGTAATTTCTTGCTGGGAGAGGCTCATATAAATCAAGTAACTATCCATTATTTTATCAATTGTGGGATCTTTCCATTATTATATATATGTTATGAGAATCTAATTCTCCTTCTCAAGACAAGCAATAAATTAGAGAAGCATAAAGGAAGAAAGGGTAAACTACTTTTAAAAGAAACACAAATACAGTTTTCCCAGATTAAAAAGAAAAAATGATAATACAACTACGATATGAATTCTAAGTAGAAATACAACCCCATATAAGTAATATAAAATGTATAAGTTATATACATCACTGTTAACAAAATTTTACCTGTAATTTAATAATTCCGTATATTATAATGATCTGATTGTGTAAATGGAGTATATGTTTTTATAAAGTTAAAACAGTGCAGCTACATTTTTGCATCTTCCTCTGCAAGGACCAAGTTGTGCATAAAGCTCGGTAAATTTTTCACTAGGACGTGTGTGTGTGTGTGTGTGTGTGTGTGTATCCTTTGCTGATGGAACTTAAAACTAATGTGAAATGCCAAATGCCACCAAGCTGTACGAAGAAAGCTGGCAGCGCATGAACTAGAAGAGCAGAATTATATTACAATGCCATAGCATGAATCCAGAAACTGAAAATCATTATATTTAAATGGCAATGCATGAAATTTGAAAGAAAGGCGGAGAATTAAAGGGTTGAAACTGCCAGCGCGTGAAGAATATTAATAACAGTTGAATAAGAGCAAATTTTCTCTCAATAAAGACATGAAATTACACAAACCTTGCTAAGACAATGTTTAAACAGTGTTCCAAAAAGCGAAAAGCGCAAAACAATGAAATCTATGGAACTTGAAGAAAAAGCAAGAAGTGAAGCCTTCTTTTAAATGAGGCGCACGATTTAAAAAAAAAATTAAAAAATGCCAAACATCCATGATTTTAGTACTATAACAATCAAGCTGCTATTAAAATAACTAATTTCACCATCCAATATAGAGTAATGTCAATATTGGTCCAACTCCTCAAAGTTGAGCTTCAAAGAATCGCTGCTTTTCTTTGGATTATTTTGCGCCTCATTACTTGAAGCGCACACTTCTCTGAAGCGCATGGCCTCACCCATGAAGCGAAAACCGCTTCCTTCAGATTCCTTTGCTTTAAGCGGTAAATCGATGGCTTTTAATAACACGCCATTTAACATGTCAAGTTCACAGAGGCTACTAAGACAGGTGCATGGAGAGTATTTAAGTCTAGTAGATCTGAAAAAACGAGAAATGAAAGGATTACCAGAGTATGTTTGAGGAAAGATCTTGGAATCCTTCATGTACTTCTTTAAAGATATAGAGGCGCGTACCTATACAAAAAGAGGATGGAAAAGAAACAAAACCATATGGGCGTATCCTTTAAATTATTCAGGACAAACCCTTTTAAGCAAGCCTTCGAGCTCGCAGCTCATTTCAATTCCATCTTCCTTAATTCTCACTAGCATATCGTCTGCTGTTCTGTTGGCAGCTATGTAAGTGCGAAGCAATAAACTATATATATCACTACTAAGACAATTCAGCTTTTTCAAATACTTGTAGAACTCCTCAGCACCACCAACATCTCTCTCTTCTACAAAATACTCGAGAAATTTATTTATTGTTTCACATTTTGGTTGCCATTCATTCTCCTTTACAAGGAATACAACTGCTTCCAGGCACTCCATAGCAAGATCAATTCGATGATGCCTCAAAAAGAATGCTATGAACATTTCCCAAGCCAAGAAGAAAGGTCCTTGTGATCGCTTCAAACCACGAAGAAAAACTTCCTCCGCATCATGTAGCATGTCATTTCTCAGATAAGCACTAATGACATTATTTGGCAGCCTCATAGTGTAACTAGGGCAGCTCGATTCCCATTCCTCATAGCATTTCTTTAAACCATCCATGTCATTAAGCTTACTGAGGGACTGAAACATGACAAGATAACTAGAATTGGTTATTTCCAAGAAACCAGACTTTAGAGAATTCCAAATACGATAAACCTCAACAAGATTAGATATTCCGGCATGCAAACTAATCAAATAGTGGTATGCCTCACGATTACGAGGTCCCATCTCTTCCTCAAGCTTCTTTAGAGCTAACTCAGCTTTGTCATGAAGCCCAGCCTTAACATAAGCAACAGCCAAGTTACTATAAATGGTCCAATCGCACTCCTCTACATTCTCCTGCTTTATCTCCTCAAAGACTCTTTCCACTCCTTCTATATCATCTAAACAAGAATAGCTATTCATCAAGATACTATACGAAAATGTACATAGTGGAACCTTTCTACTCTTCATTTCCTGTACCAAGGGGGGTACTTTTTCTGGTTGCCCTAGTCTCATATATAAGGACATAAGATTGTTGAATTGCCATGAATTAGATGCGAAGTTCAATTGATCCATTTTCTCAAAGAGGGACAATGCCTTGTCTGTCATTTTTTCAACACAGTAGCAATGCAAGAGTGCTCCATAAGTGCTTTGAATCTGCATCGAAGGTGAGAGGCTGCCAAAGTAATTTTCAGCTGCAGTTATTCCTTGAACTTTTGCTATGAGATCTAACCGTACTCCATAATCACCAAACGACAATTTTATACCTCTTCTCTCCATCCAGTCCATTATCTGCATCAATACATGGAATATTCAAAATCACTTTGATGTGGATATACTCCAACTGGAAGGCATAACTTAACAATGTCTGCACAAACATATTTCTTGCAAGCAGTTGATAGAAACATATAATGCATTTGTGACAGGAAATCTATCTCCTCTCTGGAGCATCACTCCAAACTTCTAACTAGAGCTTCTTCTTTTTTTTTTTTTTTTTTTTTTTTTTTTTTTTTTTTTTTTTTTTTTTTTTTTGATGAAGTAGATTCATTAAATGGAATCAAGAAGATGTAAAAGAGTACAAGGATAGAGCTTTCAGGTTACAAAAGAGATTTGATTAGCTCCAGTACAGTTATCTTATGTTTAGGGAGCTAACAAAATCCAAATATTGATCAATGCTATTTACAGGGATCAGTTTAGACCAACTAAAGATTTTTGCCAGACATCTAGCCTTCAAGAAGTAACTAGGAGTTGAGATTCCATGAAAACATCTTCTGTTCCTCTCTGTCCATAAGCACCAAAAGATACATGCTGGGATCCTCTTCCAGATTTCTTTGAAGGTTTTATCAACTCTCCCTAGACTTCAGCTTTCAAAAGCCTCCTTAAGACTGAAAAGCATTACCCAACTGAGTCCAAAAAAGCAGTAGAACATATTCCATAGGTCAGCAGCAAATGTACAGTGGAGAGGTGGGTGACTTTCTGAGCTTTGCTGACACATGTAACATCTGTTAGCACGCTGGAAATTTCTTCTGATGAGGTTATCTTGTGTTAAGCAGGCTCCATTTAATGCAATCCCTCTTGCATGTTTCTCCTGAAACTCAAGTCCTATGTGTTGCCTAATCTATTTTTGTGCAATGCTTGAGTCTGGATGTGATGCTATAAGATGCAAACTTGGGAATTCTTCTCTCAGTGATATTCCTCTTAACCATTTGTCCTTCCAAAAGCTTATATGAATACCATTTCCCACCCCAAAGTGACATTGCTGCAGAATTCATTCAGTGATACTTTTCCAACGTCCAACTCCATTTGTCCTCACTGGAGTTATGACATAACAATCACTTATGCCTTATCAGTTATTGCAAATTATCCGACTATGAGATTCTTATATATACGTCCCACTATATTCAGGGCATTCATTCCATTACACGCTATCAATTTGTCTCTTAAGACAAGCTTATTGCTTCTTCATATTTTTACATCTTAGACAGAAACTGGTTAAGCCTGAAAGCATGCCCTGTGCACAGGGGCGAAGCCACATTTTACCAAGGGTGGTCAACTGATCACCCTTCACAGAAATATTACGAAAAATTACACTATTTATACAAGTAAAATACTGGTTTTAGATGTATAAAATATATATTGAACACTCTTTGTCGAGAATTTTTTTTTAGTTCTTTCAAGTTTGAACACCTTTCGAAACATTTCTGGCTTTGCCAGTGCCTGTGCAGTTATTCTTCAGAAATGAAATGAAATGGAGGAAATAATGTGCCAATAAATTCTTATTTTTTAAAATCAATCAAGAAATTCACAACAACAGTTTGAAAACCCTTTGCGCTTACGAATTGGAAAAGCTGAAAGCTTGGCCTGCATTCTTTCAGTAGCTTACCATTGTCCATACCAAGTATTCTCTCTTTCCGTGCCATAAAGATTGTCATCCTAAACTTAATGTTCCAATTCCGAGACTATAACAATCAAGCATCTACACCTCAATCCCGAATTAGTTAGAGTCGGATATATGAATCATCTCATGTGGGAGTAGGGTATGTTGTTGTTGTTGTTGGATATATGAATCATCTACAACCGTTCTACTCTGTGGAATCCCTTGATTTCTAATACTAAATAATCTGTCCTTCAGAGCACTTTAAGGTTTTGTAAAAGAATTCTCAAAATCTCGCACTTATCCCTACATTCCACAAGTTTGGCAAATACAGTATAAATTAGTTGGATCAGCTATATAAGTATATTCATTCCATTTTACGAGCTCATTCATAATTTATCCTTTAACACAATTTAAGGATTCTCTAAAATAGTTTTCATGTATCTGATATACAAGTTTGTAACTAGACTATCTTGGTAAACACCAAACCTAGAGCCCTTCTGGATTAGGGGATTAAAATAAGTTGATAAGCATCAAGTGTTGAAAACACTTCTAGGTGTTGAAGCTGATTTATAAATAAGCAATAAAGTGTAAAACAAATTACTAAATCTTTTTGCAATTCAAACAGAGTTAGAGTTACAAATAATCAAGAGATTCTAGAGGCTAAACCTCAAGGGCATGTTGATATCGTCTATGTTTACGCAGCTCCTTTATGCATTTGTTCAGTTCATACTTCTTCAAAACTCTGCCTTTTCCAATGTACTCATTTATTGTTTCACTAACCGACCCATTTGTAGCTTCCAAAGCCCACAATCTCAGGTAGAGCCGCCGGTCTCCTTCACACTGCTCCTCCTTCACCGCCGCTGCCGCCGTGGTACATAGTCTTCTGACGTTGACTGGTGTTTCCTTTGAAATCTGGCGGGTCAAATTCCGGATCATTTTGGCCCGATAACTTCCACTCTTCCAGCCCGCAGAAGATAGAAACCCCAACCCCGCAAGGGTTTTTACTAGGGTTTATCATTTTCTTTCTTTCTTTTTCCTTTTTCCTCCTCCGTTCTTTCTATTTTTTGATTGCAATAAAAAAGAATAAGGAAAGTCATCCACGATAGGGAAGGGAGAAATGTCTTTTCACCAAAATTAGTTATCTGTCTACCAATTTATGGACATCTATTATGTGTCATATAAATTAAAATAATTCTAAACTATCCGCGCTCGCTAGTTCGACGAAATTAGTAGCTTCTAATTTAAACTCTATATTTGTCTTAAATTTTTTATTAAATATATACAAATTATTAAAACCGCCAATTAAAACCTTTCCCTGTTATTTCTTTCTGTTTTCCCAAAACCCTTCCCTATTATTTAAGTTTCGTGTTAAATTTACTGCTATACCAAGTGCTTCTTCTAAACATATCAAAGTTCTGTATTAATGTGGAAACAGCTCCATTAACACTGTCACCAAAAGTACTCAAATTAATAATTGTAAAGCTGCCCTTTTTATTACGGTTTCTGAGATTAGGCAAATGTATTGCAGGAAAAGAAGGATAAAATCTTTTAATTGGCGGTTCAAATTTTCAATTATGTAGTTTCTTTATTTTTCAGCAACAAGCCACAGTAATCCATAATTATATCAAATTTTGAGATCTTTATGAGAAATCTAGTTCTCGTTCTCAAGACAAGCAACAAACTCAAAAACGAAGTAAAGCTTTCCCAGGTTTTAAAAGAAAAAACAAGGATAGTCAAATCGCAATTGTGTTTGCATAACAGGCAGACAAGAATATTTTGCATGTATTAAATGCATCAGTGATTAAAATAATACACATCACCAGTATACAATTATTTGTGAAAAGGTCTTAGTATCCTTCATATATTTCTTCAAAGATAGAGAGGTATATGCCTACACAAACAGAGGATGGAAAAGAAACAAAACCATATGGGTAGATCCTTCTAATTATTCAGGACAACCCCTTTTAAGCAACTCTTCGAGCTCGCAGCTCATTTCAATTCCATCTTCCTTAATTCTCAGTAGCATATCCTCTGCTGTTCTGTTGGCAGCTATGTAAGTGCGAAGCAATGAACTATAGACATCACTGCTAAGACAATTCAGCTTCTTCAAATACTTGTAGAACTCCTCAGCACCATCAACATCTCTCTCTTCTACAAAATACTCGAAAAATTTATTAATCATTTCGTATTTTGGCTGCCATTCATTCTTCTTTACTCGAGAGGCAGCTGCTTCCATGCACTTCATAGCAAGATTGATCTGATGATTCCTCAAAAAGAATGCCATGAACATTTCCCAAGCCAAGAAGAAAGGCCCTTGTGATCTCTTCAAAGCATGACGAAAGACTTCCTCTGCATCATGTAACAAGTCATGTCTCAGATAAGCACCAATTACACTATTTGCCAGCCTCATATCATAACTGGAGCAGCATGATTCCCATTCCTTGTAGCATTTCTTTAAATCATTTATGTCATTAAGCTTACCGAGGGACTGAAGCATGACAAGATAACTAGAATTGGTTGTTATCGAGAAATGAGATTTCAGAGAATTCCAAATACGATAAACCTCATGTAGATTAGATATTCCGGAATGCAAACTAATCAAATAGTGGTATGCCTCGCGATTACGAGGTCCCATCTCTTCCTCAAGCTTCTTTAGAGCTAACTCAGCTTTGTCACGAAGCCCAGCCTTAACATAGGTAACAGCCAAGTTACTATATGTGGTCCAATCGCACTCCTTTGCATTCTCCTGCTTTATCTCCTCAAAGACTCTTTCCACTTCTTCTATATCACCCAAACAAGAATAGCTATTCATCAAGATATTATACGTAAATGTGCATAGTGGAACCTTTCTGCTCTTCATTTCCTGTACCAAGGGGGCAACTTTTTCTGGTTGCCCTAGTCTCATATACAAGGACATAAGATTGTTAAATGCCAATGATTTGGATGTGAAATTAAATTGATCCATTTTCTCAAAGAGGGACAACGCCTTGTCTGTCATTTTTTCAACACAGTAGCAATTCAAGAGTGCTCCATAAGTGCTTTGATTCTGCATGGAAGGTGAGAGGCTGCCAAAGTAATTTTCAGCTGCAGTTACTCCTTGAACTTTTGCTATGAGATCCAAACGTACTCCATAATCACCAAACGATAAGTTTATACCTCTTTTCTCCATCCATTCCATTATCTGCATCAATACATTGGCATATTAGCTCATGATATTCAAAATCACTCTGATGTGGATATACTCCACCTGCAGGTAATAACTTAACAATGTCTGCACAAACAGATTTTCTGGCAAACAGTTGATAGAAAAATATAATGAATTGTGGCAGGTAAAATATCTCCTCTCTAGAGGAGAACTCTAACGATCTAACTAGCTTGTTATAACACAACTACCATCTATGCCTTATCAGTTATTGCAAACTATTTCGGGTCCACTACAAGAATCTTGTATATACATTCCACTATATCCAGGGCATTCATTCCAATACCCATAAACAATTTGTCTCTTAATAAGCTTGTTGCTTCTTGATTTTTTTACATCTTAGACAGAAACTGGTAAAGCCTGAAAACATGCCCTGCATAGTTGTTCTTCGAAAGGAAAGAAATGAAGAAATAATGAGCCAATACACTCTTATTTCATAAAAGCAATCAAGAACTTCACAACAATGACAGTTTGAGATCCCTTTTCGCTTACAAATTGGAAAAGATGAAGCTTGGCCTGCATTCTTTCAATAGCTTGCCATTGTGCATATCAAGCTCTCTTTTCCCCATGCCATAAAGATTGTCATTCTAAACTTAATATTTCCAATTTGCAAATTATATCAATCAATCATCTACCCCTCAATGCCGAACTAGTTAGAGTTTACTATATATGAATCATCTACATCCATTCTGCTCTATTTGGATTCAGTTGATGCTAATAACAAATACATAGACCACTAAAGCACTTTATAGTTCTGTAAAAGAATTCTCAATATCGCACACTTATCCCTACACTCCACAAGACTGACATATACCACATACATAAGTTGGATCAGCTATATAAATATATCTATTCCATTTACCAGCTCATTTCATTTTATTACTAAAAAGTTTGTCCTTTAATGCAATTTAAGGGTTCTTAAAACAGTTTCCCCAAATCTCACATTTATCCGTACACGGTTATACTGACATACAAGCCTACAGGGTTTATCAAGTTGCAAAGGTTGAGTGACTTGTGGACTTAGATCACAGCTTTGAGCTCTGCGCCACGCGAACTAAGCCTGGTATTTAAGTGGAGAAGGGTAGAGGGGCAGGCTATTATTCCTTAGTTTCGCCGAATATCTCAGTCGTAAAAGAACAGTTGCTTACACTGACATACAAGTCTCGGACTAGACTAAGAAAATTCTTGGTAAACACTGAACCTGTTGTTGTTGTTGTTTCCTGTATAGTACTTCTTATCTGGTATAAATATGGAATGATGGAAGATCAAGTTTTAACTTTTCCACTCTTAGATATATATTATCCTTTTTATCAGCTACCTACAGCAGTAACATACGTAAATATAAATGATATAACTGAAACAAAAATTAATTCGAGCCCACTGAATTCACAGTATTTCCTTAAGGAATTTAATCCCCTCCTAGTACCCAAGGTTATGGATTATTTCCTCCCAGGATAGAACGAATTACACACTGGTGTAGCGGTACTTCAAACCCCAGTATTTCAGCGAACGCAAAGTTCGGCAGCAAATCACACTTACAGTTGCTTTGTTTGTAGTTTTAAAACAATGCAGAACAAGGGAGGAGAACTCAGAAGTC